CTCTCGAAAATCACGATGCCCATTCCACTTTTGCACGTTAGCCGATCATTGGCGACCGCCGCGAGGTCCAAGCGGCGTGTCGTCGTTACCGGGATAGGAATTGTGTGTCCCTTAGGAGTCGGGACGCGAAACGCTTGGGAGGCTCTTATCGACTCTAAATGCGGAATTGTGCGGCTTTCCGAACCGGATTACGACAAGCTACCGTGTAAAGTAGGTGAGCAATTTTTGACAGTACTATTACAAACTTGCACTCATATTAAAATTTGTTTACATACAATTATTCTATATGTAAACAAGATTTATTGACTTCTAGTACCTAATATTATAACTGTCGTTCAAAATTGTATTGCGCGCAATAATTATATAACAATTGGTTTACATTTATTAGCTGCATTGGTACCGAAAGGAAACTCTTCTCATGAGCTCAACATTGATTCCTACTTTACGAAGAGTGAGCTACGTACAATGTGCCCTGCCACTGCATATGCATTGATAGCTTCAGAGGAAGCACTAGCAGATGCTAGTTGGAAACCAACCGATGAAGCCGATAAACGTGACACTGGAGTCTCTGTAGGAATCGGCATGATAGACCTAGTGGACGTGTGCATGACATACGAAGCTCTGAAAAAGGGATACAGCAAAATCAGTCCATTCTTCGTGCCAAGGATATTGCCGAACATGGCTGCTGGTCAGATTAGTATAAAGTATGGTTTCCGTGGACCCAATCATTCAGTATCGACTGCATGTGCGACAGGCGCGCATGCTATTGGTAAATAAACAGCAAAAGTGATAGACTCTGGATATAGCGATTATGTAATTTTTTAAATAATAAAACAATTTAAGAAGCTAGAAAGAGCCAACGCGCGCAATATGGATTTATTACAATGACACTTACATAATCAACAAATGTAATTTGCGATGTTTTGTTAACGTCATTATATTTATTACACTAACAGCATTAAGGAGGACTAACAATACTGATCGAAAAGTTTACCGATTATATTTGTTGAATATATAAATGTCATTGTAATAAATCCATTGCACACTAATATTCGCATTGGTTCTTGGGAATTTTTTTAAATATCATCTTATTATTTGATTTATTCCCAGAGCCGACTTACACATACTTAATTTTTAATTAGGTGATTTTTTTATAATCAAAACATGAAGTGAAAAATTTCTCCTTTATCTTCAATGATAATTTTCATGTTTCCGCTTTAGGAAAAAAAATTACATGATCGCTGTTCTAATTAATGCTCTTATCATATCCGAGAAACCATTATAATGAATCATCTTCCAGGTGATGCATTCCGCTTTATCCGTGGTGGCGAGACAAGTGTGATGGTATGCGGCGGTGCAGAGGCATGTATCAGTCCACTGGCTATAGCCGCGTTTTGCCGGCTACGCGCGTTGAGCACGTCGAAGAACGACATGCCACGGGAGGCGTCACGGCCCTTCGATCATGATCGCGATGGTTTCGTTATGGGCGAAGGCGCCGCGATACTGGTTCTGGAGGAGCTAAATCACGCGCTCGCCCGAAACGCATCTATCTACGCGGAGGTGCTGGGCTACGGTCTGTCTGGCGACGCATCACACATAACAGCACCTAGCGAGGATGGCACTGGTGCGCTATTGGCAATGGATCGAACATTGAAGGACGCCGGTATCGAGACCTCGGAAGTGACGCACGTAAACGCGCACGCTACATCTACGCCGTTGGGTGATGCGATCGAGGTGAAGGCGATCGAGTCACTAATGGGCGAACACAGCAAAAACGTGACAATTACGAGCACAAAAGGGGCACATGGTCATCTGCTGGGTGCTGCCGGCAACCTGGAAGCCGCCTTCACGATCCTGGCGATCAAGGAGGGTATTATACCGCCTACGTTGAATCTGCACAACTTAAATATGGAGACAGATTTGAGATTTGCGCCGCATACGAAAATAAAATGGAACACGACGACACGTCGAACGGCTCTGAAAAACGCGTTCGGCTTCGGTGGTACGAACGCGTGCTTGTGCTTCACACAATATGTCAACTAAGTGCAAGAGGAAATGTGTATTCTATCTCTCTAGTGAAAGAATATTATAATCACTCTTTGAAATACAAAAGGATTTCAATAATGAACTTTGAAAGGTAAAGATTTCTAAAGTTAGTGGAGAACAAAAATTATTATTTTAAAAGATGAAAGAAGTTACATTATTTTGCAATCTTCATTAGCTTGGAAAAGATACAGCATGTCTCCATAAAGATGCGAACTCCACAAAGATGCTAAGAGTAAAAAGAAAAAAAGATGTCAATTATCAATTCAAACCTAATTTGAAGTTACAAGTATAATTAATTACTAGTCATTCCTTGAAATATTCAAGAATAAACACATAAAATCCTAAAAAGATGATCTGTGGACCCTTAACATTTCTGTTCAATTGATAAATAAGGAGGCGCTGCTCCTGTAAATATACACTGATATGTAAATATGTATAAAAAATCTAAGAGAAGCAAATTCGGTGACGAATTGAATTTTACACAACTGATTACCAGATGGATAGCGACTTAAATATTTTTAATAACTTTTATGCAACATACAATATATATGTGTACGATTTTACGACAAT